GTGGGGGGGGGGGGGTGGGGGGGGGGGGGGGGGGGGGGGGGGGGGGGGGGGGGGGGGGGGGGGGGGGGGGAGGTTAGGCCCCCCCCCCGCTATGCAAATGTATTTGATACCTGCTACTTATACACCATAGCAACAGCCCTTGATTATTATAGACCTTATCGATATCCAAGAGCATGAGCATTTGACTCAACCAATAGCACGCGAGGGAAATACGCCTCGGAATCGAGGACGAGGGTAGAATCTTTGGGAATGGCATTCACTCGGCGACTTGGGTGGATTTTCATTCTGGTGCAGAAATCCTGACCTGAGGAGGGCGTCTCCTTTCGCTTATTCCTCAGACACACTCCTCAAAATAGCTGGATTCATCTTCACCGTCCCATGTAAGTTAGGGTTAGGTTAGGTAAGGGTTATTGGGTCCGGAGAAGGAATCGCTCGGAAGGCTTTCCTCCTGCGATTTCGGTGCCTCGCCTTTCGGCTTTCCTGGTTTCTGTGGCTCTCGAGGGTTATAAAGGCGTGATCCCTTGTTTTTCCTACGTTTTTACGGCTTTCCCTTTTCCTAGTTCTTCAAATACTTGCCTACAGTATGTAAACGCAATAATTATACCGCCTCTTTAGCTCCATTTTGCTATCCTTACCCACAAATTTAAAAAAATATCTGATGCATCAAAATTCGTCGATCAGAACCGCAGGCCGAATGGCAATATTGCTGGGTGCAGTTGGCCTTTTCAAGTCGAAGTGACACCCTCTGCTTCAATTGGATTCTATTTTGCAGCGAGAGTGTCGATTCCGTGCATTTCTTCCCAAAGCACCAAATCAGAGGCGAGGATCGCGTCATTTGCGATAAGTACTAGGGCGTGCTTATGATTAATCAGTTAATCATTGTTTCAAAATTAATCATTAATAATAATAAATCATTTTAGAAAATGATAACAAAAATGATTAACTTCCCCATAATTTCAGAATGATTTTACCATAAATTTTGTCACGTGGCATCAGAATTCGTACCAACAATTTACTCGATGCACTTCGCAAGGCCAGTAGCAAGGAGTAATTGTCTAAAATATCTAAATGAATAAATATCTTGTGTTGGAGAATTTTTTGGTTGGATTGCATTACTTGCGAATTTCTAGAAGGGTAGGAGCCATTGCAAAAGCCACAGAGGAAAAACGCTCACGTTTAATCCACGTAGAAACATATTCCCATTTCCACGTGGAGTCTACGTATGCTCTAAACGTTTCCAGGTCGATAAATATACGTATATTCAAGGTTGCTGTGCCACATGGGAAGCGGCGTTTTCTTCGGTCTTTTCTCGTGCAACAGAAACGATAATGCTTTAAAAAAAAAACCTTTTCCAGGGCTTAATTTTTAATCGTTTTTAATTAGTTAAACATTTAGTAATTATGAAATTTCATTATTCATCATTTTTTCTCAAAAATGATTATATAACCATGCTCTAATAAGTACATCACTCAACATTTGAAGTGGATCGCTGTAATAAATGTGAACTTCATATCGTTCCAGAACACTCTTTTCTTCCTGGAATAATATCTTCTTCCTGGAATAATATCTACTTCGTACATCATACTGCCAACGACTAAAATAAAAGAAAAACACCGTGGATACCGTGGCTCAGTGGGGCTCGGGCTAGCCGGGTTCGATTCCGACCGGGCGGTTCTCTCTCGGGGGCTTCCGGGTTCTACGTGCGCTCCGTGCTCCTTTGTGCGCCTCGATGGCACCCGACGGATCGGCCCGATGGAAGGCATTCAGGCCCGAGCGGCGTCGGAGTTGCCGTCACCAGGCTCCGGCGAAAACGGGATGCACAGTGATAGAGAGTATGGGGGGGGGGGGTTCGATGCCGTCAGGGGTGCCCGATCTGGACTCCTTTTTCCCTTCACTATGTGCTGGCCGC